GGTGAGTACGTGAAACCCTAACGTTAGAGTAGGCAATCAGGTTGAAATCTACGTTCGTACTTGTCATGAGGATTGATTTGCACTAAAACCTATTTGCTATGATCATTCGGGAATTGTTGGGTTCTAATGGAAACAATGGGTAGGATTCGCGTTTTATAACCTATGTTAAAATTTACGTGATTATGTGATATTCATTACGTGTTTTAACATCGTGTTTGAACGTGGGAATTGGGTAATGGTTGTTGGATGCTGAGCGGGGAACGAGCAGGTGCAGGAACTGGAACTGTCGCGGGGAACGGTAGGTCGGTACCGCCGGGACGGTACCGAGGCACCGTCACTTTCCTCGTTTCCACCTCTCACTGACGGCATCTGTCTCCAACCGGTACTCCGGTACCGGAAGGACGGTAGGCCCTACCGCTAGGTCGGTAGCGGCCACCGTGATAGGGTACCGTGCGAAGGTACCCGGCATGCCAGACGGTACCCACGTACCGTGGGACGGTACCTTGGTACGGTGGGGACGGTAACCCCCTACGAGTAAGGGTACCATAAGGTACCAGAACCAGACAGCAGACCAGATTCCGCTAAGGACGGACTCCGAGGCTTGTGTGTATTGCATGACGGGAAGTCAGGGGTGTTAACACCCCAGACCAACCACTAAATGATATATCTCTGTTACCAGGTGTTGACCCTCCGAATGTTAATTATGTAATATATATATATATGTGTGCATATTGTTCATGATGTTGCAAGTACGAGTGGGCTGATCCAGCGCACAGCAAACAGGTACCACATGTTGATCCAACATGTTGGGTAAGATAAGCCTACCCAGGGGGAACCCTTGGGATGGACTCAATTATAGGAATTTAGAGTGTAAACCAGGTGGATGCCTGCTGGGCTCCAATGGTTAAGTCAAACCGGGTAAAAACGTACGTACGGGTATCCTTGAACTACCTGGTGATCCATGAGGTGGGGATTCCACCCACCCAACGGAGAACTCCTTCGTTGGTTGAGCATGACCCGCTGATCCAGTGGGAACCCTCATGTCTCCCATATAGTAAAGTTAAAGTCCTTAGACTAGAATAGGTATAGGGACAGGGTTTGGTGATCCACCAAGCACGATAAAACTCACAGGTTGGAGGTGAATGGAACATTGAAGCACCAGGTACATCGAGTGAATTTCTCTGTGTATGTGTGAACTTCGTGTTGGTTGCATGATGTATCTTGATTATTGTGAATTGTGGATTCCTTTGATTGTTTACTTGATGTTAGTTATATCTCACTCAGCGTCAATGCTGAGCGTGTAGTTGTTTGTGTGCTACACGCAGGTATCCAGGTAGAAGATGAATCTAGAGCCGATCCCGGAAGGAGATGAGAACGAGGAGATGTGGGTGGAATTAATGGAGGATTTGGAACTCCTAATTATTTATGAATAACTTAATACGTTTTCGGGCATGAGTCCCAAGCTGCATTTATTTACTTATCAGGCTTCCGCACTATTTTACGTTTACTCTGATGTTGGATTTTTGATGAACGGTTGGATGTTTTCTTAAATTGTTTGAGAAATAGCATACGTTAGATACCGGAAATGGTGGCAACCCGACTCGCTAACCCGTTGGTCCGGGTTGTGCGGGTTGGGGTGTTACATTTTGGTATCAGAGCCCATGGTTTTAAAAACAATCTTCGGATCACGAATGAATGGTTTCCTAAAGGCTACACCACATCTCTTGAGACTCATCTGCCCCGGGAAGGTAATAAGTTAATAAGCTTTGTCTAATATACGTTGTTGAGTGATTAGGAAAGTTTGAATTCTTATAGAATGAGTCAAGCTTCCACCCACGGTCAGGGTAACACCCACCGCATTGATGACAAACACGTTGATGTCCACACGGAAGGATCCAGCTTTGTTCCTCAACAAAACGTGGAACAACCCAACGTACCCCAGAATGTGGAAAATCACCCGAATGTGGAAGGCCAGCCAGATCCCGTACTACCGGCTTTCATGATGCACTTCTTACAGCGGATGGAGCAAGCACAGATGTTCCAGCCGCCACCGCCGCCGCCGCCACCGTCGGTTCGGTAGGTCACTCTAAAGATGTTAAAGGATAACGGCGCCGAAGAGTTTCTTGGCGACAACATTGCAGAACCGCAGATTGCCTTCGACTGGTTGGATCAAACCACGAGGGTACTAAAGAACTTGAGGATCCCAGAAGCTGATCGCCCCGAGCTAGCTGTCCAATTGCTGCGTAAAGGGGCATATGAGTGGGTGGAAGAGAGCAAGTGAGAATGCCCCTGAACCATTGACATGGGCATATTTCGATAGTTCTTTCCAGAAAGAGTACATTCCGCCTCGTTTCCGGGAAGGAAAATGGGCTGAGTTCGTGGCTTTGAGTCAAGGAGACATGACACTCCCTGAGTTTCGACAGAGGTTTGATCACTTAGCCCAGTTTGCTGGAACCTTGGTGGGTACCACGGCATATCGCATTGAGGAGTTCACTACCAAGCTTCGACCAGATATACAGCCCTACCTATCAGCGGTGCCAACAACAGACTTCACAGTGGCGTACAACTAGATAGAGAAAGCCGGGAAGGGGCTGATCGCGTGGAAGAAGAGCTTGCTCGGTTCAGAGGAGCCGAGCACCCAGAACAAGGGCGTCGGCACGACGGGTGGCAAGCGAACCCTCGGAGGAGGTCACAGCATGCAGCAATCCAAAAAGACTAAGTCAGGACCGGTCCAGTCTGGAGCCTCAAGCAGCAAACCGCGATCATCTAGGCACCCTAAGTGTAATCTCTGCGGGAGGAACCATCCAGGAGAATGTTGGTTCACACAGGGGTTGTGCCTGGGATGCGGTAAAGCGGGACATTTCAAGAGGGATTGACCTACAAACCCAGGACCCGCATTCTCTACCGCCGAGACGCACATACAGCCGTCTACAGCCCGTCCTACACAGAGTCAGCATACTACCGCGGGGTCAAACTCGCGAAAGAGCCAGATTCAAAACCAGAGTCACTATCGCCAACACGGAGGGACTCCAGCACGTACCAATGCCATGCAGGGGCGAACCGAAGTAAACAGGGACGTCATTCTGGGTATGTTCTAATTATTTGATACCCACATGTTAGCACTTATTGATCCGGGTTCTACATTGTCTTATATTTGCATTCCTATGCCGGAGAAGTGTGATATTCCGAGAGGCGACTTAGAATACCCCATGATAGTGTCCAACCCATTAGGACATAGCATGAGATTACACCACGTGTTCCAGAACTGTCCGTAGACCGCCCACGGTCAAGCACTCTCTGCAAACTTGATAGAACTACCATACAAGGAATTCGATCGATATTATTCTGGGCATGGATTGGTTGACGGAGCACCAAGCGATAATCGATTGTGGACTACGCACCGTGCGGCTGAAGGCCGACGACGGTGGGGTCATCGAAGAAAAAGGAGAATTGTTCCCTAAACCCCCTGAGTTCGTATCCCTTATGCAAGCTAAACGTCTCATCCGGAAGAGATGTGAGGCTTTTCTTTGCAATGTACGTGATGTGCGCAAAACAACCCCCGAACTGAAGGACATCCCCTCAGTGAGGGAGTTCCCAGAGGTGTTTCCCGTTGATCTCCCTGGCCTACCACCGCCAAGGGAGGTAGAATTTTCCGTCGACCTTATTCCAGGAACCGAACCCATATCCGCGACACCATACCGTATGGCGCCGGCAGAAATGAAGGAACTGAAGGCTGAACTCCAGGAACTTCTGGACAAGAGATTTATCAGACCAAGTGCGTCCCCGTGGGGAGCACCAATGCTCTTTGTTCGGAAGAAGGACGGCTCTATGAGGCTTAGCATCGACTATCGACAGTTGAACAAAGTAACCATCAAGAATTGCTATCCGTTACCGCGCATCGACGACTTATTTGATCAACTCAGAGGAGCCACAATATTTTCCAAGATCGACCTTCGATCTGGATACCACCAGATTCCCGTCAAGAAGGAGGACATTCCAAAGACCGCGTTCCGTACACGCTACGGGCACTATGAGTTTACGGTGATGCCATTTGGATTGACAAACGCCCCAGCAATATTTATGGATCTTATGAACAGCATTTTCCGCCCTTATTTGGATTAGTTCGCGGTAGTATTCATCGACGACATCCTGGTATATTCTAGGACACCTGAGGAACATGCTAAGCACCTGCAAGTCGTGTTGAATACTCTTAGAAAGCACAAACTCTACGGAAAATTGTCAAAGTGTGAGTTTTGGCTTGGTGAAGTCACATTCCTAGGACATGTGATTTCGAAGGAAGGTGTCAAGGTGGACCCAGCAAGATCTCAGCCATCACGGAGTGGAAGACCCCCAGGAACTCTCGCGAGGTGAGAAGTTTCCTCGGCTTGGCAGAGTATTACCGGCGCTTCGTGAAAGGTTTCTCCTCCATCGCAACCCCATTGGACAAACTCCTGAAAAAGGACGTCAAATTCATTTGGACAGAAGCCTGCCAAAAGAGTTTTGACCAGCTGAAAAGGTGCTTAACTGAGGCACCCGTATTGGTGTAGCCCACACCAGGCGTGGATTACACTGTGTTCAGCGACGCGTCCCATAATTGTTGGGATGTGTGCTTATGCAGGAAGGTAAGGTCATAGCCTACGCCTCCCGACAGTTGAAACCACATGAATGCAACTACCCCACCCATGATCTCGAGCTAGCAGTAGTGGTATTTGCATTAAAGATATGGCAACACTACCTGTTTGGAGAAACGACATACATACATACAGATCATAAAAGCTTGAAGTATCTGTTCACTCAGAAAGAGCTGAACTTGAGACAGAGGAGATGGCTAGAACTAATTAAGTACTACGACTGCTACATTGATTACCATCCGGGGAAGGCCAACGTGGTGGCCGACGCTTTGAGTCGGAAGACTATGGCTGAACTGCGGCTACAGCCAACCTTGAGGAGTGAGATTTGTGCAACACAACAAGGGGACGAATATTGTGCAAAGACAAGGGAGCTTGTCTCTAGGGGGGAGAGACAAGACTTCACCATCGACAACGACGGAGTCTTGTTCTACCGGGATCGTCTGGTTGTACCTGGTGGCGAGATGAGGGAGCGCTTATTGCGTGAGGCTCACGAGACTACATACACCATGCACCCGGGTAGCAACAAGATGTACCAGGACCTCAAGAAGATATATTGGTGGCCGACCATGAAGAGGGAAATATCAGAGTTTACTTCTAGATGCTTGACCTGTCAACAGGTAAAAGCTGAGCATCAGGTGCCGAGTGGATTGCTACATCCGCCGGTCATTCCCGAGTGAAAGTGGGAGCGAATCACTATGGATTTCATGGTTGGACTCCCACTGTCTAACAAGAAGAATGATGTAGTTTGGGTCGTCGTAGATCGGCTGACGAAGTCAGCGCACTTCCTTCCGATTAGGAGGGACTACCCATTGCAGAAATTAGCGGAACTCTACATCCGCGAGATTGTCCGATTGCACGGGGTACCCGCGTCTATCATTTCAGATTGTGACCCACGATTCACGTCGCAGTTTTGGAAGAGTCTACAGAAAGCTCTTGGTTCTAGGCTTAACTTCAGTACCGCATTTCACCCGCAAACTGATGGCCAGTCGGAGAGAGTGATTCAGATTTTGGAAGATATGATGCGGGCTTGTGTCATCGACTTTGGAGACAATTGGGAGCGATACCTGCCACTTATGGAGTTTGCCTATAATAACAGCTATCAGGCTAGTATTCAGATTGCTCCGTACGAGGCATTGTACGGAAGACGTTGTAGAACCCCGGTCAGCTGGACCGAACTTAGTGAACCAAAGCTTGAGGGGCCGGATCTCGTTCGCGAAACGGAGGAGAAGGTTCGAGTGATCCGGGGTAGACTGCAGAAGTCCTATGCCGACCTTAAACATCGGGAGATTGAATTCAACGTCGACGATCTCGTGTTTTTGAAAGTCTCGCCTTGGAAGAAGGTGTTGAGGTTCGGTAAGAAGGGCAAGCTAAGCCCTAGGTTTATCGAACCCTACCCAGTCACCGAACGCGTGGGACCAGTAGCGTACCGACTAGAATTGCCGCCAGAATTGAATAAGATACATGACGTGTTTCATGTGTCCATGCTAAGGAGATACCGCTCTGACCCTTCTCATATACTACCCGAAGGGACAGTCACCCTCGATGAGAGCTTGTCCTATGAAGAAGAGCCCGTGCAGATATTGGCGCGTGAAGTAAAGGAGCTGAGGAACAAGTCCGTTCCCTTGGTCAAAGTGCTCTGGAGGAACCACTCCACGGAAGAAGCAACCTGGGAGACCGAGGAGTCCATGCGAACCCAGTATCCTCATCTTTTCAGCAACCAATGACTCAGGTAATTTCGAGGACGAAATTCTTTTAAGGGGAGAGAAATGTAACACCCCGAAACCCGGCCTATCAGGATTAATTAATTAATTATATTTATTAAATTATTGAGACAGAACCATGATTCATTTAAAGAAGCTAACCCCAAAGATTAAGAATTATACTAGTGTGTAGGGTTCGAGGGAACGAGCCCAATGGCGCGATCAGATTCGGATTTGGAGCCCCTGGGCCGGGCAAGCGCGTTTGGGCCAGGTACGTTAAGTTAACGCGGGGCCCAAAACCCCAAAAGTATAAATATAAGCCTACACGCCTAAAAAATCCCTTACGCGTCCACACCTATTAACGCATAACCACGTCTCTCCCTCTCTGTCGACAACTGCTGCAGCGCCGAAGAAGAAGAAGAGGAAGGAAGAGGTCGCCGGTCAACCACCGCTATCTCGT